TAAATAGTGACTTCCACACACTTTACTGAGTGCTTAAAATGAGTTTTTCCCTGACCTGCGGCAATGCCCAGGCCAAGCCCTTACCCTCAAGGGGTTGGGGGTACTGGTGGTCATGGATGGGGGAGGAGAGACAGCAAACAATAATCAAATGTCATGTGTGCCAACCTAGGGGTGCAAATGAGAAGTTTGGGCAACATGATTCCAAAGGTTCTTTCCAGCAGTGATTATTTCGTGACTCACTCCTGCCTGCAGTACTCATTAGCATACATTTTCCATGGAAATATTTTTATGCTACTATTTAGTACAACCTAACTCTTGCATTATTTAATTTTTTATAAATTCTAATCTTGTATCCCAAACTAGATTTGTAGTTTCTTAAGGCAAAATCTGTTGTTAAATGTTTTGCATTTCCTACATCACTGTCTAAGGAATGGGAACTCAGTCGCTGTGTGTTCATTCATTATGAATGTCAATTACTTTCAGATAAAGAGGTATGCAGATATCCTCTCCTCTTCCTGTTTTATCTTCCCTGTATACCAAATTTTAGTGATGCAAAGTCATTTATGTCCAGAGAGGCTACTGACAGGATGGACTCCCTTTTTCTGAAAATTTCTTTATAAACTTAAGCCTTTTAAAATAAGGTACCAAGTAGTATGAGAGAATATTACTATTAATTGAAAAAGAGAAGGTTACAAAGTAGCATACATAAAATACATCCAAATTTTAATAAAGAACATATGAAAGAGATGAAGAAATATGTAACTGGAACATTGCAGATGTTACCAGTCTACAGTTGTGCTGTCACACTGGCATTTCTATGCCAAAGTTTCTGTTCTTGCTTCCAACCTGCAGATGCAGAATCTGCGACTCCCCTTTAAGAGTCCTTCCAAAAGGGATCTGCACATGTGCTCACATCTCTTGGGTGTAGTCACTGCATGGCTTCCAGTGTTCCAGGCATGTTCCCCTGTTCCTGCTTCCCAGACCTTGCCCACTGCTGGTGAAGGCATGTGAAGGACTGGTAATGCCCAGCAGGGAGATGCCAATGTCCGCCCTCAGTGGGCTCCATCCCTGAAACCAAAGTACTTTTCTCCGTGTGGTAAGATTATTAGTTATTTTAATTTTTTCTTCGTTCTTTTGATATTTTCCAAATTTTCTAGATTATTTGTTTTATCATCTCAAAAAAAAAAAAGGAAGTGAAAACATCTGCAACAAGTTTGCAAGATAGCCAAGAAGCTGCTGTTGTGAACAGCTGCAGAAGAAGTCAGAGAACAGAATGAAAAAAATCATAGGGTGAAGGTGGTGGTCATTGCACTGCAAAGTTGATACACATAAAACGCTGCCAGACATCTCAGGTAAGTTCTAGGAAGTACCAGAATCTGCCAGAGCCGCATCGTTGTTTTAGATCATTAAGAGTGGAGAACACAAATTGAAACTGACTCTTGACTGGCATGTTGCCTGATGAGATTCAAGATTCACAAAGTCAAGAAAGTTTATTTCAGGGTAAAAAAAAAAAAAAATGTAAGCCATTTATGTATACCAATAGCTTTGGAATTAACCAAAACCTCTTAGGGAAAGCCATAGGAATCATCACAGGCAGCCTAATGAAAACGTCTGCTGAATAGAGAAAGTTGACCAGAAACTTAATCAGACATCAGACCGTGTTACAAAGAGAATATAGAGTATCAGTATGGAAAAAAAACTGATAGTGTTGTGTGCATTAATGAGCAACTTATTCTTACTGCATTTGGTGGGAGCATTCTATCAACAGGAGTGGCTGAAGCATCAAAGGCAAGAGGAGGCAAGTTGAATTTTAGAATAATCATAGTTCATGAAAAAAGGGGCAAAACTAATTTTAATGTGACTTTTAAAGATAATGTGTTCAAATAAGGTGAGTATGAGTCACATTTGTTTTATGTCTCCCTAGAAAACAGGCACCAAGAAATCAAGGCTGTGATGTATATATTAAATAATAATAATTCAGCAAGGATAAGTGAGTTTGCTTTAAAAGGTATAGAATGACAGTTTCCAAAGATGCATGTACATAAAATTATGTGCAGTAGAGAGAGGAATTTCCTGTAGTATAAGAAAGAACATAATTGTACCTGATAAGACAATAGAGATACTTACTTTAAACCTGATAAGAAATAAAACATTTTTTACAGTATATACTCTGTCACATTCACTATTTGGGCAATTGTTATGGAAAGCCACTTACTGAAATAAAAATATAAAGAAATTTAAAACTCATTTTAATAAAAATATTTTTCTACAAACACCCAAAAATAGAATAAAAACTATGAAGATGATTACTCTTTATGTACAAAAATTCTAGCAGCTTAGATTCCAAGTGCATTGCCTTAAATTGTGTTATATTGCAAAACCAAAAAGGAATGAGGTAAGAAAGAACAGATGTGTCCAAGAGAAGAAATAATCTCGAGAAATTGGAAGAACATATTGATCTGCATTTTAAAGTAGCCATCTAAGGAAAACAGATAATTTCATATTTTAATTTTCTTTTTTGCTCATCAAATCTGATATAAATACCATCTCCTGCATACAGCAGTCTCACATCTACAAAATATTCATCTAGCAACATTAAGAGGGAATCTCCAAGAATTTAATGTGAGTGAGAATCTAGAACACTTTAAACCTAAAGTGCTTTCCCATGTAGGAAACACTTGAGATAGTCACCTAATTCAGAGATCATTCTAAATCTGGGCCAGCATGCCCCAGAAGAGGCATCTTGCTGAGCTCAACACAACTCCACTGCTACCTCCAGCCCTAGCCCTCCTGGGAATCCTTCTCTCCTCAGCCTCCTCAATTTTTATTTACGGGATCAAGGGCAATGCCTTTCAGACTTGATTTTAGGTAAAGACTCTTTTTTCTCAAAAGGAACCTTATCTATTAATTCCTGAACCACTGAAATACACCTGAAGGAATGGGCAGAGCACAGACCCCAGCCTCTTCTCACTCCAGAAGTATCCAGAAGGATTCTAGGAACAAAGCTGGAATGACCTTGGCCCAGGTCAATGAGCTAGACTTGGGAGTCAGTTATTAATTGACTTGAAGTTTAGAGGATAGTTTGTAGGATAAGAATACGTTTTCCCTGACTTCCCTAATTCTTGAATGTTCTAAAGTTCTGTACATCCAGCCAGAGCCCCAGTTTCTGTCTCTAACCCATCCACCTTGCTTGCAGCCCTTTTGTGCTTATCAGACCAGTCACCTCTATCCCCCACCATGGCTGTTCCACATCTTCCCCCAAGGCTGCCTAGCAGACAACTACTTTTTTTTCAGGGAGCCTGTCTATATAAACAATGTGATTTTTCATGTATTATAAAATGCATGGGCTCACGTGAGGTATAGTGATTTATCAGTGAAGACTTAGAACAATGGGTAGAGAAAAGGCACTTATTTATTTGTACTCATTTCTCGTCCAATCAGAACTTGTGAAGAGTCATGATCCTGGGTCCAATGTGAGTGAGTCACCTCAAATTAGCATCATTCTGGTGGCCCAATCCCACATGATACAAGAAAAAAATATCATGGCAGACAGCAGAGGAGATTCACCTGAGGGGCTGCTCTCCTGTAGTACCCCAGTATAGCCCCACGGGTGTGAGTCTCCGAGTTCCTTGGTCATCTGGCGAATCCCTTGTGTGCGGAATGGGATTGAGTTTTGGAGAGTGCCCCAAAGGGGAGAACCATGGAACCTGCAAGAGTCCAATCAGGTCTCAACGAGCCCCACCCAGAGAACACTGCAGCCTCGGCTGTTCCCAGGCACCAGAAGGGTGGCCTTAGACATTTTTTAGGAAGTTGCTTCAAAGGGCATTGAAGTGTTGCCAGGTCCAAGCAAGCACTTGCGTGTTCCGGTCTAAGGGAGTACTACCCTCCTCATTCCCTTTAAGACTGTCTGACCCATTTCTGATTCTCTCTCTCAATAATAATCTAGACCAGGGCAGTCCAGTAGGAGTAGAAAGTGAGCCACATATATAACTTTAAATTTACTAGTAACTTAATTTTTAAAATGTAAAAAGAAACAGATGAAATTACTTCTTATAATATGTTCTATTTAACCCAAGGTACAGTCAATATTCATTGTCCACTGATTCTGTATTTGCAAATTCATCCACTCAATGAATTTGTAACCCCAAAATCAATATCTGCATCATTTTTGTGTTCATTTGCTGACATGCAGAGTGGTGAAAAGCTTGAGTCACCCAACGTGCATGCTCCCAGCCGAGGTCCAGCAAGGCGGCACTCTGCTTCTTGTTTCAACTCTCATGCTGTAAGCAAGCGTCCTTTTTAGAGTCTAGGTAGTGCCATGTTTTCCACATTTTTGTGCTCCTTTTTAGTCTCTGAGCATAGTGCTGAAGTGCTGTCCGGGATTCCTAAGCTGTGAAGGTTCGTAAGCACAAGAAGGCTGTGATGTACCTTGTGGAGAAAATACATGTGTTGGAGAAGCTTCATTCTGGCATGAGTTATAGTACTGTTGGTTGTAAGTTCAATGTTAATAAATCAACAAGATAGATTAAATAAGGGTCTTTAAACAGAAACATGAAAAACAAGGTTACATATTGATCAGTTGATGAAAATGTTGTGACAGAGGCTTGCTGTAGGAACCTAGCCTTGTATTTCCTCTTGGAGTGATGGGTAAGTATTCACTAATTCAGTGTTCATGGTAACTTGATAGAACATAATTCACTGCCTGGAAAAATGAAAACAGATTGCATCATCACTTCAACAAGTAACTAATACATACAATTATTAATGCGACATATGACATTTTTGTACAAGTCTTTAAAACATGATGTGCATTTTGCACCTAGAGCACGTCTCCTGCCAACTGGCCACATTTGTGCTCAGTAGTCACATATGGTGAGCAGCTACCATACTGGGCAGTAAAGATCTAGCCTGAGACTCCACAAAGGCATCAAAGCCACCAGGCAGAGCTCCTTGCCCATTGCCAGCCACACAGCTGTCCCTCCACAGGGCCCTAGACCTCTTCCTCGCCCTCTCTCCAGGGAAGCTGCCCCCAGCACCGTCTTTCCCTCTTGTATCTGTTTTGTCTCTCCACTGGTTGTTCACTCTTGGCATATAAATGTACTTGTCTTCCTGTTTCAAAAAACAAAGAAAGAAACCAGGGACCTTACGTGTTGTTCCAGCTTTCGTGCACACAGCACTTCTGAGCATCATTCCTCTGACGTGCCATTTGTGTATCCATCCGTCATCTTCCCTGGATAGCCTCAGGGCAGTGGCCATTTTTCTATTTACATTTCATTCAATCCGTAAATATTTACTGTATCAAACATCTATGCACCTGGCACCGTGACAGGCCCGAGGATACTGTGATGAGGAAACCCAGAAGTGCCTGTGCCCTAGCGAATCCTACCAACCAAGGGTGAGTCAGACATTCAGATCAACCCTCAAGTAAATGAGTAAGTTCAAGCTGTGATAAGTACTAGGAAGGAGCACATGGGGTCTGAGAACTTGGAACAAGGACATCTGATCTAGTTTGGGGGATCGAACTCCCCCGAAACTGGAATGTTGAGCTGAATCCAAGTTAATCCACCAGAGTCTAAGATCAAGTGAAACCTTCAAGAATGAAGAGAGTTTATTTCATCACTGAATCTCTAGCACCTACATCAGTGCCTGGCATGTAGTAGGTCCTCAGTAAATATTTATGAGCAAATGGATTAACAATACAAAAAAAAAAAAAAAAAAGAAAGGAAAAAAGGCAGGAGAGAGAGAGAGCATCCTGATGATGCTAGGAAAATAGCATATGCAAAGATCCTGTGGCAGGAGGCAGTATGATACATACAGGAGACTCACAGGCCAGTGTGGAAGGGCAAAGAGAATAAGAGAGAGAGTGGCACGAGATTATGCTAGGAAGATGGGGAGGAGCACACCATGGATGCATCACTGGTCACCTTAAAGATATTTTTCTTCAACTTAAGAGACATTGATTTTTAATGGGGGGAAGAGGAACAAGGAATGGCATGAACAGAGTTGATTTCAGTATAGAGAATGAGGAGGAGAGCTGGGCAAACCAGACAGTCCTGTCAAGAATGGCCGGGCGCGGTGGCTCAAGCCTGTAATCCCAGCACTTTGGGAGGCCGAGACGGGTGGATCACGAGGTCAGGAGATCGAGACCATCCTAGCTAACACGGTGAAACCCCGTCTCTACTAAAAAAATACAAAAAACTAGCCAGGCGAGGTGGTGGGCGCCTGTAGTCCCAGCTACTCGGGAGGCTGAGGCAGGAGAATGGCCTAAACCCGGGAGGCGGAGCTTGCAGTGAGCTGAGATCCGGCCACTGCACCCCAGCCTGGGCGACAGAGCGAGATTCTGTCTCAAAAAAAAAAAAAAAAAAAAAAAGAAATAGATGGCGGGGCACAGTGGCTCATGCCTATTATTCCAGCACTTTCAGAGCCCAAGGCAGGCGAATTGCTTGAGGTCAGAAGTTCAATACCGGCCTGACCATCATGGTGAAACTCCATCTCTACTAAAAATACAAAAGAATCAGCCAGGCATGGTGGCACGCACCTGTAATCCCAGCTACTCAGGAGGCTGAGGCATGAGGCTCACTTGAGCCTGGGAGGTGGAGGTTGCAGTGAGCCGAGATCATGCCACTGCACTCCAGTCTGGGCGACAGAGCAAGACTGTCTCAAAAAAAAAAAAAAAAGAGAGAGAAAGAAAGAAGAGATAATGACAGTAGCTCCAAGTGGGATGGTGGCTGAAGATAGGAGAAAGTGATAAATGTAAGAAATATATATATAAAAAAAAAAAACCAACAAGAGTTTGGGAAGTGACTGGCTAATAGAAGTGGCAGAGAGAGACGCCAAAGATGACCACTTAGTGTCTGACTTGTGCCAAGTAGATGAATGAATTGTCAGAGAAAACAACGGAAAGAAGAACAGTAGTTATAGGGGATGAATCATGAATTTGGTTTTGAAGGTGTTGGGTTTGTGATACCTTTGAGACAGTCAAACAGTAATAACTGTGCTATGAGTTTGGAATTCAAAGAAGTCCCAGGTAAATATATGAATTTGGAAGCTATGGTGTAAAATCGTCATTAAGGCCCAGTATCTGGCACATGGTAGGGGTTTAATAAATATTTGTTTAATGAGTGATTTGGGCAGGGGAGGGCCTAATAATTAGTTTTATTAGAACGTGTGGAGTTCATAGTAACTAGGGACTAATAAACAGAAATATCTAAGGATACCTCTAAAGTTTTATTTTCCATAGAAGGTTAACTGTACAAATAAATAACATTTAATCTTCTCCAAATCCATCACATTATTTTATATTACAGCTTATTTTTAATTATATTTCTTGGTTTTTAATGGTTTCCAGCATCCCATGAGATAAAAGCTACATTGAAGATAGAATCTCATTTATTATATATCAGTTTATCCTATCATCTAAGCACTTAGAAAATACTTTTCTCCAGCAATTAATTTTTATTTTTCTCTCTGTTCTTGTGGCACATGCAATTTTCTATCTAAAGTTATAAAGTGTCATTATCTTGTGTTTATAAATCAAATTGGACTCATATACCACCAGAAAGAACATATTCAAATAAAGTGTCTGGAAATAGTGGAGCCTTAAGAAATGTTTATTGAATGGAATTGAGTTGAGACGCCACAGGTATTTTTCCCTTTTGTTTTACCTACTTGTTTATTCCTTTTTATCCTTGCAACCAGTCCCTTTCCCCTCCCCTCATCACACATTCCAGTGTGCTTTAAAAAATTCTGGGCATGAATTCCTTTGAAATGTGCATTTGTTGTTTTGTGTAGATTTATTTTTAATTTATATAAATGGAAATACGATACATATCTCAAACTGCTTCTTACTGCTTTTGAGGCAGCACTATAATTTTAAGGTCGATCCATGTTGCTATATGGAAATTGAATCTATTACTTCTAACCATGGCTTGGTTTTCCATGGTTGCTCACCCCTCACCTTCTACCCAACCCGATGGTGGACATCAGATTGCCTCCACAACCTGTTGCCACCGATAGCTTGCAGCCAACACCCTTGCACATGTTCCCTTATAAGCCTATAGTGAGAATATCCCAAGGAGCACCCTAGGGTGGAATGGCTCCACTTAGCTGGACTGAGTGGTGTCACTACCTCCCAGCTGTCTGTCCCAGTCTACTCTCTCACCAGCAGGCAAAAGGGTGCCAAACCTCACACCCTTTCCAACAGGAGGCATCAGCCAGCTCTCTGACTATGACCAAGTTAATGGGTACGAAGGGATATTTCATCACTGAATTGCACTGCTCTTATTAATAATGCTTTTGAGCATCTCTTCATATGTTTATTCACACAGAATGTTTTCTGTAAACTGCCTCTCCTTTACATTGACCATTTTTCTGGTGGGGTATCTTGTTGTTGTTGATATGCGACAGCAAGCTTCTTAGTATAGTCCAGATATTAATCTCTGGTCAGGTTTAGACATTACAAATATCTTACTCCTTTGTGTCACCTGTGATCTATGGGACTACAAATAGTTTATGTTTACTTTATTATTTTATCTGGAATTTTTTTTTTTTTTTTTTGAAATGGAGTCTCACTCTGTCACCCAGGCTGGAGTGCAGCGGCGCAATCTTGGCTCACTGCAAGCTCCGCCTCCCGGGTTCACGCCATTTTCCTGTCTCAGCCTCCCGAGTAGCTGGGACTACAGGCACCGGCCACCACGCCAGGCTAATTTTTGTATTTTTGGTAGAGACGGGGTTTTACCATGTTAACCAGGATGATCTCAAACTTCTGACCTCATGATCCGCCCACCTTCGCCTCCCAAAGTGCTGGGATTACAGGTGTAAGCCACCATGCCCGGCCTCTGGAATTATTAAATCTAATAAGATAAACATAAACTTTGCCAACAGTAAAACTTGTATTTTCTGTGATGCTTGTTCCTTCTCTTTAATTAAACTAGTTAACATAATTGGTGCACATAAGACTGTCTGACATAGATTAAGCATTCAATGCATGTCACTGTTATCATTGCTGTATCATAGGAAATTATCTCATATAACCTAAATAGCATAGCTGCCTTATGATATACCTAAATGATTCAAATTAAGGTCACTGTGCTCTCCTTCTCAGTAAAGATGTTTCAGAGTTACTTAATACTATTATTAGAAGACAAGCAAAAATAAGAGAAACATGGACCACGGTTCACGACACTGACTCGTGTATGATCTTTAAGAACCTGAGGGTTATTTACAGATGACACTGAAATTACAGGATCTTTACACTTTTAGAAAGACTGGATGCCGTACGGAAGAATTTCGGTTTCTCTGGAATTATTTTCATTGCTTTCCTCTCCCTCATTGTCACACTTCTGTGTCACTTTATGGTGGCCTTCTATTTCCTTACTCTGGACGGTGAGAGTCACTTTCATGTTAAGGAACTCAGAGGTGACGTGATCCTTTCCTCCCTTGGAATTCCCAGGTAAATGCTGTCACAATTCAATTTCTGAAAACACAGCCCGCCACGCAGGCCTGAGGTACCTAGAGGCAGCTCTTCCCGCAGGCATTGCTAGTGCTGCCCCGTGCCTCGCAGTCAGGACTCCCAGGTCGTAACATGCCCTGCTCTGCACCTTCTCTATCATGGTAGAAACACTTGCAGTCATAGGGGAGCCGGGAAGCTGTCGAACAGAGATGATGACAGACATGCGTGTGTGCTTCTGTGAACCGCAGCAGGGTCATCTCACCCGCGGCCTCCTGACCATCCCACTGCAGACTCAAATGGATGTGGGCACAGAACAAAGGGCTTTTTAAAAAACTTTTTTCAAAGACTTACTTCAGTTAATTAAATGTAAATAAGCAAATGAATTGGCAGTGATGTCAATGTCAGGAAATTATTTTGTACCTAGATTTTCTACCTAGATTTCCTATTTCTATAATTCCTGAGACATTGTAATTCAGCAGGGAAGTGGTATCTGATATGTGTATATATATATATATATATAATTTTGTATTAATCATTTCATTTACCCAGAACTGTTTTCTTCTCCATGCTGCTTCCTTATATACACAGACAGACACAGACACACACACACACGCACACATATATAATGTCAGCAGACATACGAATGTAAATTTTCCCTTTACATTTGGAGAATGTCATATGGAAGTTGAGAGATTTGCTTGCCTAAGTAACTGAATAATTTTCATGTAAAACATAGTTACTTCTCAATTCTTTTCCACACTCTTCATTAATACCATTTTGTCTAACAAATTTTTAACCACAAGACTTTATTAAAACAATTATATTTTCTTCACAGTGATGCGGTGCGATGCCATTCACATTGGTGACTTTTTTTTCCTCAAGGTTGCACGTGTAACCACTTCCTCAGAAGTAAGCATGACTTACCTCCTTTTAATCCAAAAACAGAAACTGCTCTGAACAGCTAAATGGGGCATTAGTGCTTTTTAAATGATTTTCAGTGTTTTCTTTTTCCAGATTAGAGCACTGTTACCTTATGAATCAAAACATGAAAGAAAGCGTTCAACGTTAGCAGTGAACTTTGTTTTAACACATTGATTATATTTTCTTAGTGGTTTTGTCAACTTCAGCCATCTGTTGCCCAACTGTGAGGACCACGTATTTCTGTGTAAGTGAAGGAGCAATCCATCTAACCATCACGTGTGCAAGACCAACTACTTAAAAATCTGTAAGAATGGATCAAAAGACTGAAGTCAGAAAGCCAACATTTAGCAACTGTCTTAGAATGTCTTTGCAAACATCTTTCCAGTACATTATTTGTACTATGTGACTGGGAATAACCATGAGACTGAATAGATACATTCAGCATTGTTTCATCTCAATATTCCTTCACGGTTTCTTCAGGCTCTCTGAGCTCTACAAATGGAATCCTACGTTAAGCAATGAGCTAGGCCAACCGGATCTATCTCGCCCTCAATCCACAAGCTCATAGTTGGGGCCACTGGAATTCAGGGCTTGACTTAGGGAAAAAATACTGTGAAGACCATGAAGTGTAGCTTCATCAGTTCCCACCTCCTCTTTTACAGAAAATGACCTCAACAACTAACTCATCAGATAAAGTTAACAGTTTAACTGTGCCATCCACCCTTCTGCAACGTAAGGAGTGTCTTTTTTTAGAAAATGAGATGCTTTTACCCAAAAGAATGCGTGAATGGAAGCATTTCTAATAGTGGTGTTTCTTTGTAAAGAATCAGGATTTCGCTCCTTTGCACTTGCTCGCCCTGGCTGCTTGCTTTGTTCGCAGTTAAATGCCTGGTGCCTCAGGATCAGACTCAAGTTTTGGACGCCTTTTCTAGCTCTTCCCCCATGCTCTGCCAACAGGCCGGATGCCTGTCTATCCCATCTCATCACCCATGGCTGTTCTAGAAAACTCATTTCTTTTTAAGAGTTTATTTTACATCGGTGAGTGAAATCACATCGAAGCCTCTCTAAAAGGGCAACCTTCCAGGATTGAGAAAGGATGCACTGGTGCACAGTGCTGGGTGGTGCTTTCTTTAAAAGAGGACAAATCAGCAGGGGCAGGATCAGGGAGAGGCAGGGGAGGTATCCGCACCTAGGGTGCAAAATTTAAGGAGGCACGGACTCTCAGTGTCAGCTCTACACTTGCACAACCCTGAAAGCGAGCACCTCCTTAAATGTGGGCCAAGGCCCCTCACTTCCCTCACCCTGTGGCCTCACCACCTTTTCTTCTTCCTGCCTCTTGTATCTGTTCTGTTCTTGTAAAACTGGTTTTCCAGGTCATCCAGTTGTAGACCTAGTGGGCCACCCTGATACAAATCATTCTAAAAACACTAGATGGCTACTGTGGGAGACTCTTTTGACAAATAAAGTGAGCTTCATTGTTTGACTAGAATACTGGAATTTTTACTTACATGCATTCTTCCTAAAAGCTTTACGAAAAGTTGACTGATTTTTATCAATTTTTGCATCCTTCAAAATCACTTCAGAGAGGTTTTCATTCAGCTTCCACATGGCTATATGTGTCACCACCTTGAAATAAAATGACAGATAAAAAGATGTCCAGTAGTCACAGGGCTGTGATGGCCTAAGAGGTCGTGGTCAGTCTGGCGCTGTTCGTCTGCTGCTTGGCAGTGGGGATGGAGCAAGAGGAAGCCGTGTCAGTCACATGGGCAGGACAGCAAGTGTCATCCAGGCTCTGTGTCCACACAGTCTTCAAAGCTGGGGAGGTTCATTGGAGGTGAAGGGTGACTATTCTTAGTGCCTAGCAAAATCTCTGGGGCTTCTCTCATGAGTACCGGCTATTGTGTTATCATACACAGATCCAGTCCTTCTGGCCTACTGTGTGCCCAGGAGGCTGGCCTCTCTGCCCGGCAACTTCCCGCTCTTGGCCATGACATCAGGTTGGGTTCAGCCAATGGGAGGTCAGAGCATGGGATGAGAACACGATCAGGCTGTTTCTCCCACTGCTCCTTGTTTCAGGCATATGCTGACTATGGTTACCTCCTTCTTCAGTGACAGCCCCTGCCGGGTGGTCCCTCCAGGACTCCAGCCCTCCTGGGCGCTGATCAAATGGTTTTTTCTCCTCGCTGCTTCAGGCCTCCAGGTGGTAACAGCTTCCTGTTGGTGCTAGTTCCTTGAGGATCTTGCCTGGTGAATTCCCTTCACTCTGCCTACACTTCTGTAAATAGTCACTTTTGGGTTAAACTCTTTTGAGTAGAATTCCCTTTCTTGCTGGAAGCCCAACTGAAATAGAAGATGACATCTATTTTTTAATAGCTATATAGAATAAATTGTCTTAATTTCCCACTAAAGAAAAAAGAAAGCAAAACAGTAATCTGAGTTCACCTTACAAAATGTATGAATTCAGCGAAGAAAGGAAATGTAAATCTAGGAAAGGAGCTCTATTAGTCACAAGTCTCCAGAGAAACAGAACCAAGAGGATGTATATGTGTGTGCATACACACCCATACACACACAGCACACACACACACAGAAACGCACACAGACACACACATACGCACACACATAACACACACTCACAGAAACACACATAACACATACAGATACACACACCGTACACACAAACACACAGACACACACATACACACACACAACACACACTCACAGAAACACACACAACACACAGATACACACACCGTACACACATATACAACACACACAAACACACACAACACACACAGACACACACATACACACACAACACACAGATACACACACACCACACACAAACACACGTACACACACACAGACACACCTCACAACACACAAAAACACACACATGCACACACACACACATGCACACACACATAACACACACATTAACAGAAACAACACACAACACACACACACACACACACACACACACAGAGTAAGCCAGAGAGAGAGAAATTTATTACAAGGAACTGGCTCATGTAATTGTGGGAGCTGACAAGCCCACCATCTGCAGTGTGGGCAGCAGCACTGGAGACCCAGGAGAGCTGCGGTGCACGTGGAGTCCAAAGGCAGCCTGCTGGAGAAGTCCCTCTCTCTGGGAGAGGCAGGTCTTGTTCTATTCAGGACTGTAGCTGGTTGAATGAGGCCCACCCCCACTATGGAGGGCAATCTGCTGGACCTAAAGGTCACTGAATTAAATGATAATCTCATTCAAAAGTACCCTCTAAGGCGACACATAAAATTAACCGTCTCCAGAACCTAGATAATTCAATAACTATACAGAGATCCTCAATGATTCAGGGCAATTGGACTGATAAAGAACTATTTTTAGTGTTGTTACGCTATATAGCATCTTAAATTTAGCTAGCAGTTTCCTCTGCTTTTGATCACATGGGGGACACATTTTCCTTCTTGATCATTTCATTTGCCAAGACCTGTGGAAAAGAAGTGTTTTCTTGTTCATCTGAGGACAATGAAACACAAACACAAACACCAAAAAATAGGTTTACTGTTCTATATTTGTATCCCTTAAATAGCTCAAGCCAAGTGCCTCTTGACGTTTATGAGTGGCTGGCTCTGGAGTTAAGCGTCATTGTCCCTGCACACGCAGTAGACAACACAGGGCATGTGGCATGTGTGGGTGTCAGTGCCCAGCCCCTGCAAGGCTCTCTTCAGTGAGGTTTGGGGCAGATGAAATGTGCTCTCTCAACCTCACTAACCATCAGAACAAACATGTATTTTATACTCTAAGTTTATTGTTCGGATGAGGCCCAGTGCTTTTAATCTTTGTAATTAAAGAGGCAAGAATGTGTTTTTAATCTTCTGAGTCAAATTTTCTTTTATTTCTTAGGCAGAAAATGACAATTCCCCAAAATCTGCATAGACAAAGAAACTAATCACTCATGTAGAAAACTACATTATGGGACTCCAGGGGCTGTGCAAGGGTTGGTGGGTGATGGGAAACTTCATTTAAGAGAGATAAAATGGCTCTCAATTTTAAAAGAAGATCTACATATGAATAGAAATCCCTTCCCTAATGTTTTCTCCACAGTGGCATCCTTTGTTTTAACAGGATTCTGAATACAGTGTGAGGCATCCTATTATTTTCCATAGCCAAAGCATTGCTGTCATGAGTGGCAAAGCATTTCTTCCGCTGAAATGGAATTGATGTTGGCATACTATTTTCTATTAAGAAATTGTTTATTATGTTTATGTTTATTATGCCAGCTCTTTTATACCCACAGGAAGAGAGGCAGGAACATCTAACAGTTACTCTCTGGGGCTCCATGGCCACAGAGGGGGTTTCATGGGGTAGAGCAGGCAGTGTCGTGATGTTCCCCCTTCTCTCCAGTGGGGCGACTAACTGTTTGTGAAAACACCAATGGATAACACAAATAGCAATGCACTGATGTGTTACCAACTTGACAGGGACTGAGATATAGACCCCTTCACGTTGACGAAGCCTGAACTTCCCATGGCAATTCATCCCTGGACTGAAAACCAGAGAAAAGGCACTGCTGAGATCAATGAAATGTCCAGTGACTTTTCCCCAGGGCAGAAGGCCTGCTTGCCTCACAGTTTTATAACAAAAAAGAGGTTGCATCACAAAAGATATACTACAGGCTGGGCGCAGTCACTCATGCCTATAATCCCAGCACTTTGGGAGGCCAAGGCAGGCGGATCATCTGAGGTCAGGAGTTCAAGAGCAGCCTGATCAACAGGGTGAAACCCCGTCTTAAAAATACAAAAAATTAACCGGGTGTGGTGGCGCACTCCTATAATCCCAGTTACTTGGGAGGCTGAGGCACGAGAATCACTTGAACCCAGGAGGAGGAGGTTGCAGTGAGCTGAGACTGTGCCACTGCACGCCAGCCTGGGTGACAGAGCAAAGCTCCATCTCAAAAAAAAAAAAAAAAAAAAAAAAAGATATGCTCCAAATATACAATGCCACAGGCACTGTAGAAACAGTACGGCACATCCTCAAAAAATTAAACATAGAATTACCTATGATCCAGTCATTCCACTTCTAGGTATATACACAAAGGAATTGAAAGCAGGGTCTCAAAGAGATACTTGTCCACCCATGTTTCCAGCAGCATTATATTCACAATAGCCAAGAGGCAGAAGCGATCCAAGTGTCCATCAATGGATTAATGGAACACAGGATTTGGCATATACTCACTATGCAACTGTTATTCCTGCCTTAAAGAGAAGGGAATTTTGACACATGTTGTAACATGGATGAAGCTGAACCTTGAGGACATTATGCTATGTGAAATAAATGAGACACAAAAGGGTAAATATTATATAATTCTATTACATGAAGTACCTAGAGTAGTCAAATTCATAAAGGCAGAAAATAGAATGGTGGTTACCAGGGCCTGGGGGCAGAGGATAGGAAATGGGACATTAGCATTTAATAAGTACAGAGCTTTGATTTGGAATGATGAAAGTTCTGGGAATGGATGGTGGTGATGGTGGCACAACATGATGAATGCACTTAACGCCACTAAATTGTGCATTCAACAATGGTTAAAATGATAACTTTTATTTTATGTCTATTTTAGTAGAATTTTTAAAAAAGATACTCTCCAAGGGAACCCCCATTCTTGCCCACACAGAGAAGCTGCTAGCTCTATTATCCCCCAAAAGTTAAAAATCTAAAAATTTTGAAACTGGGCTCTATAAGGCCCCCACATTGAGGGACTATATTTCACATAAGCATACTAGAGTTATCTGTAAAACAACCATATAGTGTTCATTCTAATCTATAACATGATTTTAATGATCCTCAATGAATTCTATTGTTGTCCTCGTGAAATCTCAAGCAGAGACTCTCCCAGCACGGTTAGGGGAAGAGATGAGGACAGGTCAATCGTGATGACTGTTGCACTCAAGACTCTGGACTCAAGTTTGACAGTCCAGAGTTGTACCCTCTAGAGAAAGATGCCCTGGACACATTTACCTCTGTCCATGAGTACTATACATTTCAACAGTAACTAGCCCCAAAGGAAAACACTAGAGATTGACACTAAATTTTTAAAAGTTAACACAACATAAGGCACAGCTGCCTTATATAGTCTTATTTTGTAAGTACTGTAGTTCCATTAAAAATCTTGGCAAGATTCAGGAGGAATATTCTTGTGTTTGGGTCCACTGGCACCAGAGACAATAGCCATGTGCATGCATGCATGCTTCAATAGATGCAAAGAAAAGATTTGGTTGGTCTCTAGGTGGCCTGTTTACACAACGATGCAAGCACCAGACGCCAAGAAATAATTGTCCTTGTGTTCCAAAAACTATTGTAATTAGCCATAGCAAATTCGAGAACCACATCTTTCAGTTGTGTCTAATTCAGCCGCCTGCCTACAGATACACTTCCCTGAATTCCCCAAATGATTATTACCTAAAACCAAAATATGCTATTGTCATTCATATTAATGGTTTACAGAGCAGTTCCCTAAGACAAACTTCCCTGCTATCTGAAGTCGGGATCCTCAACACAAGAAACTACTGGTTAGGAATCCTCTATTAATAGCATAATATTATGAAAAATGTAGTAGGTAGAAAGAAAACCCAATCAGACAAAATTCATGTTAGCTTTTATCAACAGTTTATGGATGGAATCCAATAAATCACTGACCGAGATTTTTATTTTCCATTTCAGCTAAGGTCAGGAGTTCGAGACCAGCCTGGCCGACATGGTGAAACCTTGTCTTTACTAAAAATACAAAAATTAGCTGAGCATGGTGGTGGGTGCCTGTAGTCCCAGCTACTCAGGAGGTTGAGGCAGGAGAATTGCTTGAACTTGGGAGACAGAGGTTGCAGTGAGCCGAGATCATGCCACTGCACTCCAGCCTGGGCAATAGAGTGAGACTCTGGCTCAAAAAAAAAAAAAAAAAAAAAAATTCAAAAGAAAAATTTTTCATATTCTGATTTCCTTTAGGCTTAATTAAATTTATTTCTGGTCCCTAGAATGTGACTATGCCTTTAGGTGAGCTATTCAATCAACTTCTTTTTCATTCATGCATAATTTGATCTGATTTAAGATTTGATTGTCATCTAATCAATCAGACCTAGATAGTGATTCGAGTTCCTTCGTAAACTAACGCTGCTGAGTTCACCTATTTGGATTCCATATATCCAGGGATTACTCAAATGGCTTGAGTATGATAATTTAATTTGCTGATGCTAAGACTAGAAAATTGTTCTCAGTAAGCCGAAGTCAGGGTTTATATTGTTTTATTTTGTTTTTCTCATAGCTCCCTTACAAATTATTTTTTCCAATT